GCCGGCACCGGGAGCGGCTCCACCACCGCGATCGGCACCGGCACTGCCACCGCCTGCCGCCACCGGGATCGGGATCGGCACCACCGACCGGCACCAGGATCTGCTCACCGCTGGGATCGGGACTAGCTCTGCCACCGGGAGCGGCTCCGGGATCAGCTCCAGGATCGGCACCGGTACTGCCATCGCACGCTGGGATCAGCTCTGCCACCCGGGTGGGCTCTGCCACTGGCACCGGTACTGCCAGTGCCATCGCCTACAGCGCCAGCATCAGCTCTGGCACTGCCACCAGTATTGGCATGGGCACCCACACCGGCACTGGCAGTGGCTCTGGCACTGGCATCACCACAGCCACCAGTTCTGGCACTGGCACCAGCATCACGGGCACAGGCATCGGCACCAATGTCAGCAGGAGCATCGGTGGCACTGGCACGGGGTTAATGTAGATTGAGGGTCAGGTGGGAACACCCAGAAATGACTCTGGGGGCACTTTGTGGGTCTTGGATGGTTTATGGCCCTTCTAAGACGTGACCAACGTAGTTGGGCCAGTTGTGCCCCATCAGAAGGGATGGAAACCTTCAGCCCCACCTGGGAATGTCCCCCCTGGCAGAGGAGTGTCACAGCTGAACCAGCTGTGTGAGGGAGGACATGGGCAGGACAGAAACCATCATCCCACCAGGATCTGCTGCTTTTCAGCCCTTCCCCTTCTCTGGCTCAAAAGCAGCTCGTTTCTAAACAAAGGTGGGTTTGTGGTGGTCACCCTGGGCTGTCCTTATGTGGATCAGAGGTTTCACCACCACACATCCAAAAAATCTCCTCCTCCTCTTTGTCTGGGGGAAAACCTGGGCTCAGCAAAGAACCTGCTGCTTTTGTTTGAGTCCTTAACCTTGAACATTCCAGCCTCTCACAGCTGCTTGGGGCTGTTCAGCTTTGGTGATCCCAGAGCCCAGGGTACAGAATCGTGTCCCCAGATGCCACATCTACACTTCTTAAATCCCCCCAGGGATGGGAACTCCACCACAACCCTGGGCAGCCTGTGCCAGGACTGAACAGCTCTTTCCAGGAAGAAATTTTCCCAATATCCAACCTAAACATCCTTTGGGGCCAAGTGTATTCCCCCAGTCTCCTCCATAACTTAGGGAACTTCACCACAGCACCAGCTCTTTCCTGGGAACAGCTGAGCCCATGGATTTCACTCCAAGAGAAGCCCATGACAGAGCACATCCCTCCAACAGGAAGCAACACACTTTCCCTCTTGGCACTCAACTGGAATAAGCAGAAATGATGAAAACCACCAGCCCATGGGGAGAAAACACGTGATAGGACCCCCTTCTCTCTGCTCACCCTCTCCCTGCTGCTTTTTCCACTTTCCAAAGGAATGTCACCAACACGTCGCACACACATTAAGAACATATCCATGGGGTTTTTTCCATAATTTCAGGAATCACCCCCCAGGAAACACATGGGGTCAATATAAAAATAGAACCCAAAACCAGGTTTACTTCAGCAGTTACAGGCAATGCTAGAGCAGCAAAAAGGGGGAAATAATGCCCAGAACTGGTTACTTCAAACATCAATTTACCAGGGGACAATCCCATTCCCAGGTCCTGGTTTTTCATCCCTGTAAACTCCCAGTGTTTCTCTCTTACTTTGGGTGCCCTCCAGCACGTGCTGTTTGGTGCACCAGGTTTTTTTTAATGCCACTTTGGGTACAGCCAACGCTGCTCTATCCCAACTCCTGTTCCCAGGAAGGGATGGATAGAGCACGACAGGAATTATCCAGCCACTAATTAAAATCGGGTCCTAATCAATGATTATTAGACCGGCACCAAGCAGAAGCCTTTGGAACTCGAATTTGATTAAACTGAGGCAAAGTGCCTTATCCCAAAGCTTCCCTGTAATCCACACAGGACAACAAACCACCGCCCCTGGACTGAGGGGGATTTTCAACAACCGAACGGGAAAACCTATCCCAGGAAATCATTCGGCACGCAGATTATGTGAAAATGTGTTCTCCAGTGGCTGATGAGCTTGGGTTTCTCCAGGAAGCTCTTGCCACACTCCAGGCAGGTGTGTGGCCTGACCCCCGAGTGGATCCTGCGGTGCCGGAGCAGGTACGTGTGCCGGGCAAAGCTCTTCCCGCACTCCGTGCAGATGAACCACGGCACCTCGGACGCCTTGGGGTGGGTCTGCTGCTGAAAAAGGAACCGTCTGAATTCGCCAAGTTGTCCTCCTGCAGGGAAGCTGCTGCCTCTCCTGTTTCCCGGGGGCTTTGCCTGGTTTGTTGAACTCTGCTGGCTCTCCCGTGTTTCCCCCTTGTCCGAAACGTTCCATCGCTGGTTTTGGGATCCTCCTGAGGGTGATCCATGAACTTGTGTGTTTTCTGCACTCTGCTGCTGAGATCTGATCGTGGCACCACCATGGCCTGGAACAAGAACATTCCCAACGTTCCCTTTATCTCCTTATCCACAAATCTCCAAAGAACAACAATTCCCAATTTTTACATCTGTACAAAACCCCCCAAGTTTTGGGTAAAAAAAAGCAGGGGTGGGCTGGAAACCCCCTCTCTCCAATCCTACCAGGTTCCAGGTGTTGCCAGTTAATTCCCAACGAGCCTCACACCTGTGCTAAGGCTGGCAGGAATCTTCCTTCCCTCCAAACCCTGCTGAGCCTTGACCTGTGCCATTTCTCCCACCGGGATTTTGCTTTTGGGAACAGGATAATCTGAACAAGCAACAGAAGGAACATGGAAATGATGGTTATTATCATTTTCCTCTGACTGTTTTCCTGCATAACTCACTAACGAGCATCTCTGTTATTCCAGGGAAAATCCAACCAGGAGGGAACAGCCAATGCAGTTGCTCCGGTGTCTAAAAGGGTGGTGGGATGAAGGTGAGCAGGATTTGTCTTCCAATTTTTACAAAATATTCCAGAAATTACACCCCAAAGGTTGAAAATTAACTGTTGGAAAGTGGCAGGTCTCAGATTTGAGCCTTAACCCCAAATTCAGCCACCTGGTGCTGGATTTGGTGGTTCAGCCCTGTCTTTTTGGGAACAAGGAAAAGCACTTTTAGCTCCTGATTTCAGCAGGTTCCTCTATGAATCCATGGAATTACCTGGATGCTGAGGAGCCAGGGAGGGCTCACAGCTTTGAATTTAAAATATCAGTGATTTCAAACATACAGTTGGGCATTTAAAATCAACAAGATTTCTTTATTTCCTGGGCATCAGTCTTGTTATTTAACTCTTTCTGCATCAAAACAGTTCAATTCCCTTCAGTGAATCCCAAACCCAAACATACATCAGGGTTTGGGGATGAGGAAAACACAGCTTCACTATAAATAATGAGTCTTCAGGATTCATGATTCCTGAGTCACTGCAGCTCCTGTATCTAAACCTTTTCCACTCCTCTGTCCTTGTTTTTGCTGGCATGTGCATTCCCAGGGATCCTAAACCCTCTGCCCATCCTTCAGCCTTTAAAAGGAAGGCTGTGTGTGGATCTCACACAGATTCCCAAGTACCTAAAGATTAATCTTCTGAAAATCCAGGGATTTGAGGAGTGACAAGAGCCAGGCCTGACCCAGCACGTGTCACCCTTTGGAGAGGGAAAACCGACCTTTTCTGAACACGGTTAAAGATCCGTAATTCTCCTTTAGGATTGTCTTGCAAAATTCATTCTGCCAGTCCTCCAAAGTCGGCCTCTTAGCACCATTGGGACACTTCCCAGGGACCTAAAAATCAAAATGTTCGACGGTCAGTGCTGTTGGGGAGTCGTAAATCCCTAAAACCCCTCTTTTTCCAATGATTTTTAACAGGTGGTCACCACCCAACTGCTCCCAGCAGTGTCTGTGTGTGTGTGTAACCACCTCAATAATGAAAGATTTTATATTAAGAACCTTCTACTGTTTTTTCAGAATGAGTGAAATGCCTTAAAAACAATGTGACTCAACCAAAACAATTATTTTTTTCAAACAACTGGGTCAAAAATATCCAGGGTCAGCATCCATACCCAGCTCCCTCAGGGAATGTGGCTCTTCCTTAATAATTCAGTGTTTTAAATAAGCCCAGAGGCAGTTCCACACTGGCTGGAAAAGCCCCTCCCTAATAATAAAATCTTATTATCAGGGAATAATAATATTATTATTATTAATTAAGCCCTCTAAGGGATATTTCTCCAGGCTGCTTCCAAGGCTTTACACCCAAAACCTTCCTTTAATTTCATTTATTCCCAGTATCAACCCCACTTACCCTCTGGTGCTCGGGATTCCGGATTCGCTTCCGAGTTTTATTCCTCATCCCATCACAGAAGCCCTGGGGTGTCCCCACGAGCCAGTTCCCATCTTGCCCCAGGATGAATTTGTTGGGAACAGCCTCCTTCAGCAGCCGCCGTCTCCTGCGGATTTTCAGGGGATCCCCCTCGAAGGAGCTCTCCTCGAAGTGAGCCGAGCACAGGCGCTCGTACTTGGAGGGGGTTCCCATGTCCCTGCCCATGTTCTGGATCCATTGCTTCAGGAGAGCCTCGTTTTGCAAAGGGAACCCGTGAAAAGTCACGGAGCTGTTCTTGCAGGAGCCGCTCGTGGCGTTCCTGCAGTTCAGGGCCGCGCAATAAACCATCGCCGAGGGAGCAGATCCCCGGAAAGCCACACCAGGAGGAAGGGGCTGGGGAGTTCCTGATCAGCTTCAGGGTTAAACAGGCCTAAATTCATCTGAAAAAAAACGTGGTTTTGGCACAGAGGAAGAGCTGAGGTGACCCAGGGGAAACGTGGCGCTGAGTTTCCAGGGACACGGAGCTCCCCATGGAAAGGAGCCAAGGCTGTCCCAACTGCTCCAGCTCAACAATCTGAAAGGTAAAAACGCTTCAAAATCACCTCAATGCCCCCAGGAATATGCAGATTTACATTTAAATAACCCCTGTGATGTGCACACAGACGTGTGCTTCCTTAATTTGTGTATCCAGGGGGGAGCCTCCCGTGCTCCAAAGATTATCCACAACTCAGCAAAAGGGCTGAGAGACAAGTAATTCCCCAAAAAATGAAGGTTTGGAGTGTGCCAAGGGCTCCCCCATCGTGTCAGAGATGAAGAGGTGTTTGAACAGGAGCACTGAAACAGGGAGAAAAGCATCCAGGGATCTTGTTGGATCCTGCTCTGAAGAAGAGGGGAGATCCCAAAGTTTGTAGATCAGAAAGGAACAAAGATCAGAGGGTCCAAAAAAAGCTCACAGAGTTTGATCATTTAATTATGCACTCAGTGTGGGAATTGGTGGTTTTGCCCTTATTTTCTGGTAGTGAGAGAAATAAAAAAGAAAAGCGGAAAGAGAGAGATTCATGACAGGATTGACCTTTGGTCCTGCACTGACACTGACTTCGTGTTTATCTCCATGTGCCAGAGCAGGGAAGTGGCCCCAGAAAGGTGCTCCCCATCTCCATGTGCCCCCTTTCTCCAGCCACATCCTGTCCCAGTGTGCTTCCATTGGAATTTGGGACACAGCAGCACAACAACTCCTTGGTGCCCAGGGGTCAGCGGGTCCCCAGCACAGGAAGGGCATGGACATGTTGGAGACAGTCCAGAGCAGACCACACAGAGGAGGAGAGGGATGTGGCCCCTCTGCTCTGGAGCCAGGCTGGGAGAGCTGGGGGGGTTCCCCTGGAGAAGAGAAGGCTCCAGGGAGAGCTGAGAGCCCCTGGCAGGGCCTGAAGGGGCTCCAGGAGAGCTGGAGAGGGACTGGGGACAAGGGAGGGAGGGACAGGACAAGGGGGAATGGCTTCCCACTGCCAGAGGGCAGGGATAGATGGGATATTGGGAAGGAACTCCTGTCTGTGAGGGTGGGGAGGAGCTGGAATGGATTTCCCAGAGAAGTTGTGGCTGCCCCTGGATCCCTGGAAGTGTCCAAGGCCAGGCTGGACAGGGCTTGGAGCAACCTGGGCTAGTGGGAGGTGTCCCTGTCCGTGGTAGGGGGTGAGGCTGGATGATCTTTCAGGTCCCTTCCAACCCAAGCCACTCCAATCCAGCCCCGCTTCCACCCCCTGCACGCCCGGCAGTGTCCGTGCCTCTGTCCCCGCGCCACAGCTGTGGGGGGACGCGGGTCCCGGCGCTCCCCTACCGGTGCCGCGGGGCCGGGAGCCTTGGGGAGGTGCCCAAGCACCCCCGGGGCTTTAGAGGGGGAGGCAGGACAGGGCCCCGAGCGCCGCGGGACCCCCGCTCGCCCCGCGCCGCCATCGCCGCCTTCTTCCTCCTCCCTCTCGGCCGCGCCAAGCCTCGCCAGCCAATCAGCGGCGGCGCCAGGCGGCAAGAGCCAATCGGGAGCCAGCCCTCGCCGTTTCCCCCCACGCCATTGGTCCGCCGCCCTCCCGGCTCCGCCCACCCGCGGCCATCGGGAGGAGGGGCGGGGCAGAGGCGCGCATTCCCATTGGCCAGCGCTCGGGGCAGCGGGGGCGCTGATTGGACCAGAAGGGGAGGGGGGCGGGGATTAGGAGCGGCGTCCTCTCGTTGTCATGGCAACGGCGCGGCGGGACCGCTCGGGGCCCCGGAGCATCGGGACCCCTCCCCGAGCCCCGGGGCCGCTCCCGAGGCGGAGGAACAGCCCCGCCATCCCCAGCATCGTCGGGAGCGGGATGAGGCCGGAGTCCCGGGACCCTTCCCCGAGCCCCGGGGCCGCTCCCGAGGCGGAGGAACACCCCCGCCATCCCCAGCATCATCAGGGGTGGGATGAGGCCGGAGCCCCGGGACTCCGCCGTCCCGAATCCCGGCCCGGACTGAGAGACCCCCCTCCTGGAGCGCAGGCGAACCCCCGTCTCTTCCCAAAGATACCCTGAAACCCGGGATCTGGGGAGTGGCGGCCGCCTCAGAGTTCCTCCTCCGGCTTCAGCCTCGCCCCTCCCTTCCCCTCCCGCCGTGGAACCACTCGTGGCATTTAACAATTTTAATTAAACCCCCCCTTAAATTTCCAGCCAACAACAACAAAAAAAACCCCCATCCTGGGAAAACTTAAGCAGAAACAAGCACGTAAAAAAAGGCCCTTTAAGGAAGTTTCCTTAAAGGAAAAGGGAAGGAGCCCTGACCCCGAACGGGCTCTGCACCGACTCAGCCGCTGCTGCTCCTCTGTTATTCACCGCCAAGGTGACAAATCCAGACTCTTATTATTAAAAGGAATAAATCGTGTCCTTGCAAAAGACTCAATCCCCTAAGAGACCCCGAACAGGAGCAAAACCAGTCTCTGAAGGAGGATGTTTAAGGAGCAGCTGTCAAATCCCGCTCCGAAGAGGAGGGGAGCTCCCAGGGTGTGCAGATACCCGGGGTTCCGAAAGCAACAACGACAAACGCCAGAGGATCCCAAAAGAGCTCACGAGGTTTGATTAGTAAACCACACACTGGGTAAGAACCTGGGATGAGTTAGTCCCGTATCTTTTAGTAGTAAGAGAAACAAAAGAGTAAAAGAAAGGAGGGGAGAGGGAGAGGTCAGGGAAGATCACCAGTCCCGGTTCCACCGTCGATCCCCGCGTCCAAGGTGTTCAGGGTCCCGGCGGTGCCACCTGGGCGCTGTGGGGGCACCTTTTTACGGGTAAGTTTTCCCCGCCCCAGGATCAGGTTTCCCACTTCCCATGCAAATCAGGCAGTGTGCGCGACCCCTCCTCCCGGACCTTTCTGGAAGAGGGTCGGAGGGGCTTCGGTGGTCCTGATCCCCCTGTGCCGAGCTCCCCGATGGCTCCTACGCCGCCCTTGTGCGGGGTTTGCTGTGGCTCCGGGCCCGGAGGAGGAGGAGGTTGGCCTCGGGAACAGCGCTGCCCTATCTCCCGTGCCCCCCTTCCCAGCCACATCCTGTTCTATCCTGCTCCTTATCAGTGTTGGGGACTCGGCAGCGCCTTAACTCCTTGGAGCCCAGGCTGCTACAGCTGCACAGAAATAACCGCGTTCCCTGAAGAACGGGGTGGAAACTCGGGGATCCCGAAAACCGGGGAAAGACGATGATTCTCCCTGAATCTCCTGGAGCTCGGGGTGGAGAACACGAAAACCGATCCCATTCGACCCGATCCCGGCGGTTGATTTGCAAGAGCATCCCGGGCACCGCCGAGGAGGAGAACAATCAAGAGCCCGGGAACTGCCGGCCTTTCCATAACAAAGGGCACAATGAGGGACATTCTGGGACACAGCAGGAGCTGATCATCCCAGATTGTCATCTTAGACTGTGAGGGGATAAAAGCCTGGGGTGGGGTGTCCTTTGTTTGGGGTCCCTCCCCGGAGGCACCAGCTCCAGCTGTTACTCTGTTGTTGCATCACGACTAAATTATTTCAAGGAATTATTTTAAGGATCCAGGTGTCCCAGATCCGCTCCACTATGGAAAACCTGCTTGGACTGTGTGAGAGGGGTGTGGAGTAAACCAGGATCCGTGGACTCCCTGGAGCTTGTCCCAGCTCAGGTGGTGGGAATGTGACTTCCAGAGTGGCTCCTGGATGATCAGACAGGGAAGTTTCCTTAACAGCCACAAGCCAGGAGAGACTGAAATCCAGCAAGTGGAGTCTTATCCATGGGCTGGGCATTCAGATTCCAGATGGTTCTCGTCAACAATCAACAAAATTTCTAATAGACATGGAAGCACAACAGCCAATATTAACAGTGGGATGCTGGTGTAGGACCTGGAGGGCAAAGGGTTAAAATCCCTGGAGCAAACGCTCCGGGTGCCAAACTGCTCAGGTTAATTTATGGGCCAGAAGCAGGAATCAGCCAACCTTAAACCTAAAAGAATTCCAGAGGCTACAATGCACTGACTCCACTCAGCACCTGCACTCCCTGATTCAAGAACCATCCATGCAGCACAACAGCAAATTCCTGCTGTGGCAGGAAGGGAATTTCTGGAGTTCCAGATGATTTGGCCCCACTTGGAGCTGCAGGTCCCAGAACTGCTGGGCAGTGACTGGGGTGCAGCAGCCCAGGCACCAGGGAGTTAATGTGCTGCTGTGTCCCAAACAGGGCTAACAAGGGACAAACTGGAACAGGTTGTGGCTGCAGAGGGGGGACCCTCTGATATTTTTGGCCTCTCTGACATTTCTTCAGCATCATCTCTACCTTTTTTTCCCAAGTTTGAGGGTTTTTTTCTCCTTTCCCTGTGACCATTTCTGCAGCCACTCAGTTTTCACAGACAGTAACAAATCGTGTTTTCCTCCCTTCTATTTCCTCTCCCAGCTCTCGTTTCTCTCTACTGTGCTTTTTCCTGTCTAAATCCTCCAACAATTCTCTTTCCCTGCGCTCTGCTGCAGCAAGTGAGAGTCCCATGCTGGTCATTTTTCAGGCCTAAGTTTATCAGCTTGGATTCTGTGGAAGGCCAGGAGATAAAGGGTCAACGTGTGTGTCTCAAACACCGATAGCCAGGAGCCAGCCAAGGACTGGGGTGTGAGAACACTCCGTGCACAGAGGGACGGGATGTGCCTGGAAAAGGGGGACACACGGAGGTGGGGCAGCACTTCTCTGGGACAAACACCCTTATTCTGGCTCCTGGAGATAACATGGAACAGTGCAGGAGTGGGGTCAAGGAGCAGGCACAGAGTGTCAACCAAAGGTGGATCAGTTTGGGTGGGATCAAGACCCTCAAAGCCTCCAAGACCTATTTCCAGGAGGATCCAGGGAAATGGACTGTGCAGGCTCACTCATTTCCATGAGAAGTGGGAAAACAAGCCCCAAGGTGGGGAAAACTTGGCTATAAAAAAGGATGACACAGGGTTTGGGGGCACCCCAGGATCCTGGACGTGGTGCCAGGCAGATCAGTGCTGGAGCCAGGACTGGTGATCTCCTTCCCTCTCCTTTCTGATCTCCCTCTCCCTCTTCTCTTTTCCTCTACTAGAAGGTAAGGGGAAAAATACCAATTCCCATGCTGAGCATGGAATTTGCTAATAAAAACTTTGCAAGTTGTGTTTTGGATCCCTCTGACATCTGTCATTCCTTTTAACCGTGGGCATCTTGGGAGCTCCCTTCTGCTTTGGAGTGGGATGTGCCAGACCCAAAGGAAGAGGCTGGAGGAGCCAATGCTGCCCTACCTCCACGTGGCCCTCTCCAGCAGATCCTATTCCACTCGTTATGGGTGTCTGGGACACAGCAGCACGTTAACTCCTCGTTTCCCAGGTTTCTGCAGCACCTCCATGTTTCTGCTTTCACGGGATTCGGAAAATGGAACACACACAGAAGACAATGTGGGAAAATAAATGCAACACGACTTTTAAGGCTATGCAAAATTCAAACCATGTTCCAGGCTCCCCAGTGGTTTTGCAAATCCTGGTGAGGATCTCACCCTTCAGGAATCCTATCCCGGGGTTCGGCAACAGAGAGACCCAGGAGCTGTGGGATTTATCAGCAGGAATTAGCTGCCTCCCAGGCTCTGTGCCCTTCTGACTACTCCCAGCAGCCGTGGGATAAAATGTCAGGTATTTTCTCTCTGTTAGATAGCTCTTCTTTGTAACACACATCCCAAATTCCATGTCCACGTGGTTTCTCTCCCACGGGGATTCACAGCCAGCAGCACCTCTGAGCTCCCACACCTCCCCAGACCTACAGGCACCGGTGGAAAATAACCCCCAGCCACGCCCCTTGGCCTGGGAGGGGCTCGGGAGGGCTGTTCCACAGCCTCCTCCTCCTCCCACCACGGTCCAGGGCAGAGCTGGGGGTCCTGCCCTGCCCCGAGGGGGCTGGCAGGGGTGTTTTATATGGAATGCATCACTGAGCCCCTGATGTCCGTGCAGGGCCAGCTGGCCAGAGGCAGGTGTGCCTCCTGCACGTGGCTTTCCTGATGCTTCACCAGGCTCCTCCTGAGCACAAACCTTTTCCTGCAGAGAGGACACTGGAAAAGCCCCTCCCCCGTGTGCCTCCGCTGGTGGTTGAGGAGGTAATCCTTCCTCCTGTAGGTTTTGTCACACTCAGAGCATTTGTAGGGCCTCTCTCCCGTGTGGGTTGTCTGGTGTCTGACGAGCCACGAGTGGCAAACGAAGCTTTTCCCACAGTCGCTGCAAATGTAGGACTTGCCCCGGCCCTGGCTCTGCTGCTGGTGGGCAGGGCTGCCCCGGGCTGGGGGGGGATCCCAGCAGGCTCCAGAGGTGTCCATGGGGAAGTTCTCCTCGTTTTCAGCAGGTTCCTCCCCGCCCAGGTCCTGGTCCCAGAGCCTGGCTGTGCCCCCGGGGGTCTGTCCCCCCTGGCAGGGGGCAGGGGCAGCTCCCGGCCCCGTTCCCTTCTCTCCCAGCTGGGAGTGCAGCAGAGGGAACACCCTCTCACACGTGGGGCCTGGAAACATCTCCCCTTGTCCCTGTGGAGCCCGGGGCTGGTCCTGCTGCGGGGAGTTTCTCTCACACTTGGACACACAGGGCCTCTTTTCCTGAGCACTAAAGAAATCCAAGTGCTCACCAAACCCTCGGTTGTACCCGTTCCCGTTCCCAGTGCTGTTTGTTTCCATCATTTCTGAATTCCACTGACTGTCCCATGTCACTCCAGGGCTGGGATCCTTGGGGAACATCTCTCCTGGCCTTCCTGGTGCCTCTGAGTCACAGGTGGTGCTCTCAAAGCAATCTGCTGGAGGGTCCCTCTTCGTGTTTTCATCTGAAACACAGAGATTTCAGAGTCTTTTAACTCAGGAATCCCCTTGGGAATGTCCCTCCCAGCCCACAGCCACATCATTAATACTGAGTGGGTGAACAAGAACCAGCGTCCACTGAAACAAAATCTCTAGGAAAACAGAAAGACTTTTTTCCAATTATATTTTTTAAAATCTACATTAAAAGATCTCCGCTGCAATGTCTTAGATTCACCTCCTCACTCAGATATCCGAAGTGGGAGGTCTGAGCTCCCTGACAGAGGGGACTGTCACACCTTGGTACTCCCTATTCCAGTGCTAAACCACCCTCTGGGTGAAGAACCTTTCCCTAATATCCAACCTAAACCTCCCCCACTGAGCTTATCAGAAATACTGCCTGACCCCAGGAAATGTTTTTTAATGAACAGCCCTGGAAATTCATTTTTCTTGCCTGAACATCAACCCAAGTGGAGTAATATTTTTGTTATTGAGCCTTCAAAGAAAATTACTGACTGGAATTGTGGCCAGGATAGAAAATTACCACGACTAAAGCCCACTGTCCTGTGACTCTATAAACAGCAGTGCAAAGTGAGACCCTTGGAGCTCCCAGTTCCCAGAAAATCAGGGAATGTGTGTGTCCCAAACACCCACAGCTGGATGGCCATGGAGCCAACCAAGGACTGTTTAACACACTGTGAGAAAGAACAACATCTGGCTGCAGAAGGGGCCTTGCAGAGATGGGGCAGCACTTTTCTGGGACAAACATCCTTGTTGTAGTTCCTGGAGATAAGCACAGCAGGAATGAGGCCAAGGAGTGGGTATGGACTGTAAAGGGGGATCAAGACATCCAAAGACCCCCAAAGCCTCTGATCCATTTCCAGAAAGGCCTGAAAAAATGGGCTGTGCAAGAGCAATAATTTGCATGGAAACCCATCAGGAGATGGGCCACCACTGACCACGTCCCCAAGTGCCACATTCACACGGCTTTTATATCCCTCCAGGAATGGGGACTCCACCCCTGCCCTGGGCAGCTGTGCCAGGGCTGGGCAGCCCTTTCCAGGAAGAAATTGTCCCAGTATCCAACCTGACCCTCCCCTGGCACAGCTTGAGGCCGTTCCCTCTCCTCCTGTCCCCTGTTCCCTGGGAGCAGAGCCCAACTCACACCCCCCCTACCCCTGGCTCCAACAACCTTCCTGGGAACTACAGGGAGCCAGAAGGTCCCCCCTGAGCCTCCTTTGCTCCAGGCTGAGCCTCCGCAGCTCCCTCAGCTGCTCCTGCTGCTCCAGCCCCTTCCCAGTTCCATTCCCTTCCCTGGACATGCTCCAGCCTCTCCATGTCCTGTACTGGAGACCCCAGAACTGCCCCCAGGGCTGGAGGTGCCTCAGCAGTGCCAGCACAGGGACGGACCCTGCCCTGTGTCACCCCATGGCTGGTACAAACCCTGCCCTGTGTCACCCCATGGCTGGTACAAACCAGGGGCCATTGGCCTCCTGCCACCCTGGGCACACCTGGGCTCATGTCCAGCCACTGTCACCACCACCCCCAGGACATTTCCCAGCTTTCCAGCCCCCCTGCCCAGTCTGGAGTGTTCCATGGGGTTCTTGAGACCCAAGTGCAGGATCCAGACTTGGCCTTGTTGACCCTCACCCCGCTGGCTTCAACCCATCAATCCCATGGATCCAGCCTGTCCAGATCCCTCTGCAGAGCCTTCCTGCCCTCCAGCAGATCCACAATCCCAACCTGGTGTCCTCTGCAAACTGCCTGAGGGTGGCCTCAATTCCCTTGTCCAGATGGTTGATAAAGACATTAAACAGACCTGGCCCCAGTACTGAGCCCTGGGGACACCACTGAGGACTGGCCACCAGCTGATGTCACTCCCTTCCCCACCACACTCTGGGCCCAGCCCTCAGCCAGGTTTTTATCCAGGCAAAAGCAGCACAAACTTGATCTGTGCTGCCTGAGCACAGCTCTGGGCTTGCCTGAACACAAGCCCAAACCAGCACCTCAGCAGCTTTAGGCTGGCTCGAGGAGGAAGGAGCCTCTTCAGCTGACAGAACTCGACATTTTTGTGCCCAAATATTACCCAGCAGGATGAGGTTTGTCGCAGTTTTTTGTTGCTTACACCACAGGGCTGTGACATCTAATATGGCATTAAAAAATACTCTAAACTAGATTTACTGTCCCTGAAATCCCAGCTGAAACCCATCACTGACCTGTACTTGGATCTGCAGAGATTTCCTCCTTCTCCAAGTGCTGCTGTTCAGGGCAGCGTGGCTCCTCCTCTTGTTTAATCCACGATGAAACACCCGTTGCATAAGTCTGAAATCCTGTTTGTTGGGGGCAGAATTTGCACAACTGAGAAACCCCAGGGAAAGCACGGAAGATTTGGGAATTCACAACAATGGGAAGACACGTGAGGGAAGACACAACACGAGGAGGGGGTAAATCCTGCAGTGGGAGTTTCTGCCGTGGAATCCTCCTCACCTGTGTCAGGGTGTCTTGGAATGTCCTCACCCTCAGTGCCTGGCAGCTCCCTGGCATCCACCTCGTTGCCTTTCCTGGTCTGACTGGACGCCTCAGGATCACAAAACGTTTGCTCTGCTGAAGGAGAAAATCCAGGAGAAGTGTGTTGTGCCTCCATAAACTCGGGATTTCACAAGGCTGAAACCTGCTCTGGGTTTGGGCTTGGTTTTCCCCCAGGCCAAGCTCCCATAAGCCCAGTTTCTTAAGGAAACCTGATGGAAAAGTCTAAAAATCCATACAATTCCAGTGGAGCCAAGAGGCAGCATTGATAGCCTTTGTGAAGAGTGAGGAAAATCTGCAAAGCAGGGCAGTTTATTTGTAAAACAAAGAGGTTCCAAGTGAGAGGGCCAAGAACAGGGCCCTGGGCTGGGTGGCCTCCCCGAGGGCTCCATGGGCTCACTCCTGTAACCAGGAAAACCCCAGAAGGGAAGGGAGGAGGGAAAAGGCACCTGAAGGCTCTGGATCTGCAGGAATAGAGGCACTGCCAGAGGAATGGAGCTGAGGAGCTGCTGCAGCTGCTCCAATTCCCCCAGAGCCAGAACAGCCAGATCCTGCCTCCACACTCCAACCACAGGCTGGAACACTGACTTTGCCTCCTCCAAGTTAACCCACTGTCCCCAAAAAGTGACTGATTTGCACTAAATATTTAACCAGTTTAGATTTATCGACTTGAGGGAAGCAAAGTAAGGAATTTAGGGGAGAGTGAAACATCTCCTGCTTGGATAAAAACCAGCCAAACTCCAAAAGTGCCACGAGAAGGGAAAGAGGCAACACCAGCCCTCACCTGTTGGGGCTGCTGGCAAGTCTGCTCAACACTTCTAAAAGATCTGGAATACAAGAAAAGAGGTGGGGAAGAAAACCCCACATAACTTGGAATTTAATCCCTCTGGTTCATTTTCTCTCCCAGGTATGCAGTTACTCACCTGGGCAGGGCTCTCCAGGAGCTTCTCCAGCCTCCTCCTCCTCCTGAACAGCAGTGCACAACTCTTCCTCTTGCTTAATCTGGATTATGCTGTCTTCTGTCAATGGGAACCACTGTTATTTTAATTCCATACCTAATTAATTCCAATTCTCGGCCCACCCCAGGCAGAGCTGCTCTGTTCTAGCTCACATTCCAGAGAACACCTCCCTCCAGTTCCTGTTCCCACTGACCAAGGTCTCTTGAACAGACCTAAAATGTTGGCTGCAAAACCCTCAGCAGATATTTGAGCCTCAGAAACACATAAAACTGTCATGCAAGTGAAAACATGTTCTCCACGGCCCCGGGAGAGGACAGAGCCACTGCAATTCTTGTTCTTAAGTTTTCTTTCTCTCTTGGCACCACTGGAGTTCTGTCATTCCCTTTTCAGTCCCTCTCAGTGAAACCAATCACAGAAACACTGGTGAGAAGAGCGTTCTTAGAGAATAAGTAATGAAATTTATGGAAAAAAGAAAACTAAAGTCTGTAGAATTGTTAAGGGAAAGCAGAAGGGCCAGTGCTCTGCACCTTTACAGAATCCCAGAATGGTTTGTGTTGGAAGGGACCTTAAAGCTCATCTCATTCCACCCTCTGCCATGGGCAGGGACACCTTCCACTAGCCCAGGTTGCTCCAAGCCCTGTCCAGCCTGGCCTTGGACACTTCCATAACCTGATCAATGAGCTGGGGGAACACTTCACATGTGTTTAAAATCAACTACATTGTGCATGTTTGTGCACAATGGAATGAAAAATCCTCTTGCCAGCCAGACTTCAGACTGGAAAACCAAAATCCATCCTGCTTTGCCTGGCGGTGCAGACCCGGCCCAGGCCCAGTCCAAGGGGACAGAGGGAGTGCAGCTCAGCAACCAGGAGAGGGAAAAGAAGGGAATGATGGAGCATCCTGGGAAGGCTGGGGGATGCCTGAGAGCTACGTTTGGAAGATCACACTCAGCACAGCCAGCACCTTGGAGACAGGCTGGTCATTGAATCGTGGAATTGCTGAGGTTGGAAAAGGCCTTGGAGATTATCAAGTCCAACCACTCCCCCAGCACTGCCAAGGCCACCACTG